ACGGGTACCGGAGGAAATTAGAGGTGGCTCAGGGCTGGGTGATTTGTTGTGTTCGGGGCACATGTGTGTAACTTGCATTCGGGGAGCAGGAGCTATGTGCCAGGCGCTTCAGGCATTCTATATTTCTCTTCACTTATACGACGACCCTGTGACATATGAGGCCTGAATTTCACAGGTGGGAAACTGAGATTCAGAGAGGGGAAGCGATTTGCCTAAAGTCACCCAGCTGTGGAGCCAGGACTCAAGCCTGGTTCCCAAGGCACTAAGAGGTGGGCCGAGGGCACAGGGTTCTGTGGCTTCCTGCAGTGGCTGGTGACTTCAGGGTGACGGGACAGCTTGGGCACATGCTGGCTCCTGGACTTCTGGTGTGGGGGTGGGGACTTTTCTTTCTTGGGTCTGGATGGGCATCTATGCAGCGGTGGGTGGCTTGGAGCTTGCCCAAGATTTAGCTGGAATCTGGCTTTTCCAGCTGTTATGGTTTATATCTAGATGTCCTCCCAAAGCCTCATGGGCTCGTAGGCGGGGCTGTGAGAGGTGATTGGATGGGGAGGTGCTATGCTCACTGGTGGATTAGTTCACAGATGAGCTGATAGCTGAATGTGCCACTAGGAGGCGGGGCCTCGTCTGAAGAGGCGGAGCCTGGTCTGAAGAGGTGGGGCCTGGCCTGAAGAGGTGGGGCCTGGTCTGAAGAGGCGGTCATGGGGGCCTGGCCTGGAGAGTTTATCCACGTCCCCAGCTCCTCCTTTCTGCCCTGCTTCCTGGTCTCCACGCTGTGAGCCTCTCTGCCCCACCAGACCCTTCTACCATGCTGTGCTGCCTTGGAGTCATCCAACCACGGACGAAAAATGTGGGCCCAAATCAACCTTTCCTCCTGTAAGTTGTGGGTGCTGAGGGCTATGTCTCAGCAGAGAGGACGGTGACTAAGACCCCAGCCACACAAGGACGGAGTCCCTTAGTCTGTGCTTGGAGGAACAAATGAGTTTCTCTGGAGTTGAACTTGGTGGGCGGTTGGACTTTGGTTAGCCCGCATCGTGTTCAAGCGCTTGCCTTCTCGACAGCTCAGGGTCTTCACTTGCGAGTGGGGCTGGTGGCAGCGCCTCCGCTTAGAATCAGCACGCAGGCTGACACAACAGCAACGTGAGTGAACAGCCCGAGCCCGGGGCAGCACAGGGAGGTGCTCAAAACACACAGTTCCCATCCAACACACGCTCTGGATTCCGCGCCTCTCCTTGCTGTAACTGCAACTGTCTCTACTGCTACTGCAGCTCAGTGTCGGGCGGGGCCGAATGCCTCTGCTACAGAGGGACAGGGTCTCCCTCCGTGGCCCGAGTGCCCCGGCCTCCGCTGTGGCCACTATTTATCACCTGCGTGGAGACAGCAGTGGCGGGCGCTTCTTGCCCTCAGAGTGTTCCTGGCGCTGGGCAGCACCCTCATTCAGATTCAGCTTCTGGAAACGCCCAAGGAGGACGCCCTTCTCCCGGAGCCTGTCTGGGGAGGGGACGTTGCTGGGACTGGGACCAAGCTGCAGACGTGTCATGAGCGCAGAGGAGGTGTGGAGCTCAGGGCCTGTTGGGAATCCTGTGCTTCCCATACTTTAGGAAGGACACCCCAAGACCCTGGCATTGGAGGCAATAAGACTTCTTGAAGGAGCATGGACAGGAAACCTGTGCCCACACCAGGCCCTAGCAGTGATGGAGCGGCAAACCAAGACAGGCTGGGCCAAAACCCACATAGGACCCGGCGGGAAGAGGGCACGTGGGCAGGCAGACGCCTGGTGCTGGGAAGGTCCCCAAATGGGAGCGGGGATGCAGCCGTGGAAGGGCAGGGAGGGTGCACGCCCAGGGTCTCTAGAGTTACTTTATTGCTTAATTTTCTCCCTGGTCTTCTGACCCATAAGTTACAAGTGGGGAAGCTGAGGCCCAGAGAGACACCCCAGGCCCCCAAAGACACACAGCAAGTGGCAAGACCTGGAGGAGGACCCGGATCTACCTGGGGTCACAGCCTGAGTTATTATTGTCTCTGCTCCACAGTGTTTTGGGCATGATGGAGCCAATGGAATCACCAGTCAGGGCCATCTCTCAGCACAGACATGGAAGAGCCAAGTGCTGACCCGGCATGCTCTGGGGCACAAGAGCCACCCCTGAGAGCTCAGGGGACAGCCTGCGTTGGGGCCTTGTGCCGCTGACTGCTCTGAGCTCATCGCCAACTTCCCTGTCCCAGTCAACTCTGTCCCCCCTCGCTGCCCACTGAGGAGCTGGTGCCAGGCTGGGCCCACCCTGACTGCTCCCTGGAGCCCCCAGGAGTGGACAGCTCCTGTGTTTTTAAGCCAGACTGTAACAGACAGGCTGCAATGTTCACTGGATTCAACAAACACGCCTCATGGTCCAGGGGGACCAGGATGCCTGAGGATCCCCGCCCACATCCAGTCAGACTGGAGTTTGTCCCTGGGCTGAAGGCACACGGGGATTTCTACGGCATGGTGGCTGTTGATGGCCTTGCACCAGACATGTCCAGGGGACGTTGAGTGGTCCAGGGCCGCACGCTGCTCCTGCACAATCGGCAGCTGGAGGGCAGAGGAGGAGGAGGAGGAGGAGGCAGGCAATCTGCATCTTCAGCAGCAGGCTGTCCACAGAGCCTCTGTTACCCTGAGGAACTAACACGGCTGTAGGAGGGGCGTGCGCTTCCCAGGGGATCCAGGCGTGCCTGATTCACAGACACTCATTAAGTAAGCTGCAGACGCACAGAAGAAGGGTAAAGAAGGGCAAGGAAGGAAAGGGAAGGGAAGGGAAGGGAAGGGAAGGGGAGGGGGAGGGGAGGGGAAGAGTAAAGGGAAGATGTATGTTCTGCTCTCGGGGGAGATAAATCACCCACACAGAAAAGACTCACTCTTCGCCCAGGGACATAACCCACTAATGCTCCACCCACCAGGCACAGGCAGCTCTCCTGGCCTGGCTGAGACACACAGGGCTGAGGGGAGCCCTGGACGGCACGTGAGGCAAGGACAGAACCGGAGCTCTTTGCACTGGGCCCAGTAGAGCACAGGCAGTGTTAATCAAGTGCCTGCTGTACGCCAGGCCCCGGGCTGGCTGCTGAGGCTGTGAGATAAAGGCCCTGGCATCTAGGCAGGGACACAGACATGTGGATGACAAATCACAACTCAGCACGCTCTGGGGAGAGAAGGCAGGCCCAGATTATAGACTAACAAGTACAATCTGGGGGCTGCAGTCAGAGAAGCCGGGTTCAGATCTCCAGCCCATCACAGCCCAGCTGGGAGATGTGGGGCAGGTTCCCAACATCGTTCAGCCTCAGATCCATGGCTGTCAAGGGGGGACGGCTTTGGAACACAGGCAGAGTGTTCTGAAGGTTATGGAAGAGCGCCTGTAATGAATTTGCTGCCATGCCGGCCTGGATTCACTTAGCACCGGTGGTGCTGTTGATTATAAATGCAGAAGGGGAAGGCATGAACTCGTCAAGTCATGGTAGGGGTTAGGGGAGCTCATGCCAGGAAAGAATTTAGATGGCTAAAGACTCCACTAGAGTGGGGTGTGGTGGTGCACACCTGGAATCCCAGCACTCAAGGGGGCTGAGGCAGGAGGATCTCAAGTTGCAGCCCAGCCTGGGCAGCTTAGTGACTTAATGAGACTGTTTTTAAAAAATAAAAAAAAAAAACAATTTAAAGGAGGCTGGGGAAGTAGCTCAGGCAAAGGCCCTGGGTTCATTTCACCAGTATTGCAAAGAAAAATGAAAAAGTTTTCCAGAGACAGAAGACTCCAGAGGCAATAGAAAGAAGCATGTTAACAGCATTTTGTCATTGAGTCTATGACCTGAGAACTTTAAACACCTGGGGCCCAGCAGGGTGGGTATTTAATGTCATGCCAGGAGTTAAGAGCAGTGGTTAACAAGTTGCAATCTGCTGCTACCTAAGGCTGCACCCAGAGCAGACATTGTTAATCAATTGTTGAATTGTTGAGTTCTTTCTACAGCTGCTACCAGCTGGCTGGCATCACCATGTAAGTTGAAGGCTCTTTGCCACCCCAAGAGAAAACTAGACACTGTTCCTCTTGAGCCCCTGCCCCCAGCCAGGAATCTCCTTATACCTTTGCTGCCCTCCCCACACAGTGGGTGGCTTGGCTTCAGCTGGAGCCTGGCCCAGCCTCCTCTGGTCCTGTTTCCTCACCATGGGGTCAGGGATATGGGGGCAGCCTGCCATCTGAGGTTTGCCCACTGCCGCAGTGACTGCTTGGGCGCGTGGTCCCTTTGTCCCTTTGCCTTCAAAGGCCATAGCCTGACTCCCTCCCCACCTGGCCTGCAGCAGCCAGGCCGCCACCCCAGGCCCAGGGACCCTCTCAAAGCCCACCCTGAGGTGCATCCCATTGGGCAGGTGAAAGTGAATTGCATGGGGATGGGAGGGCTTGTGACCAGGGGCCTGTGTGGCATGGAGAGCCACACAGATGGCCATGGTGTGGTGGCCCTGGCTAGCAGAGAGGTGAACAGGTAGGGCTGGCAGCCTCTGGGGACTTGCTCTTCCCCACTGAAGCCTGCCTCCCTGTGCCCCAAAAGTGCAGCATTCCCCTGAGTTCCCCGAAGGCTACTCCCTCCAGCCTGGCAAGAGGGGAAATTAATCTCCCCTAATCCTACACTTCATGCATAGGATTCCACTGCCCAGCAAGACCGTGAAATAAATCTGCCCCTAATTTTCTATTTGCCCACCCCAAGTTTCCTTATTTCTAACCCTACTTTGCCAACTGCCTTGAATCCAGGGAAACAAAGACCTAATCTTCTCTCTGACCTTGTTTATTCTGTGTCTTCAAAAAATGAGTCCTGTGGGTATTTTGCCCTACCAGTTTGGGGAAAAAACAGGAGGCTTCCTCGTGACCCCAGAAGCCACAGATTCCAGGCCCATCTTCCTTACCTTTGCTACCTTCCTGGGTGTGGGGGGATGAGGGCCCCGTGATCGGCTGCTCACTGGGAATCTGCATGCATCAGTCACCGGGTGACTAACAGGCCACCTCCCCGGGGCCTGAGCCCAAGGGGAACTCCGAGGTGGAGCACCAAGGCTTCCTGCCAGGCTGGGGCCCAGGTCCTGTCTTCCAAGGTCTGTGTGTTTTGGGGATCATGAAATAGTCCCTGCCTGCTTCTATCCCCAGCACCTGTGGCTCCGCTCGGCCACCCCTGCTGCTTCCGGGCACTGCAGGCTCCGAGCTGCTCCCTCTCTGCCCTCCTCTCCCCGGCACTCCTGCTCTGGGCCACCACAGGAAAACAAGATCGGCCACTGCCAGGCCCAGGGGTGAAGCGAGGAGTGCTGAGCCTCTCACCTGAACACCTGGACATCAGCCAAGGCTCCATGAATGACAGCCAGCGCTGTCATCATCACCTGATTCCCTGTCCCCACCTCTGGGAAACGTCCCCGGCTCCCGCAACAGAAACAAGGGTGCTCTTCTCCACCCCCTGGCTCCCCGGGGACTCTGTCCAACCCAGAGCCAGCAGCTGCACCCTCTCTGCATTTCATTTCCTGCTCCCGTGGAATCAGGATAAGCACGCTAATGGCCTCACCCTGGGCTGTCAGAGGATTAAGTGAGATAATGCTCGCCATGGGCTTGACCAACGGCACCGCCCCAGGTAAGAGGCAAATGAGCGCTGCTGGGTGCAGACACTACTGCTCATCAGTATGGGCCTGGGCTTTGCCAGCAGGAACTGCCAGAAGGCAGACGTGGGCCTTAGTTTTCCTGGGAGCTCTTGGCACTCACCCTTTGGTTGGGAGTGACGACCGGAACCTGGAGCGTGGCCGGGGAGGGGCCGTGTCCTGATGGTCACAGCCACATCCTGCCCACCATTCCAGTCCCTTCCTCCAAGCCCCACCCTGGCTCATCCTGGCTGGGGAGACCTTGAAACCATCTGCTCCCCTCCTCACCTGTCAGCATGAGGACACAGAGGGCCGGAGGTGCGGCCCAGCTCCGTAGGGCCACACGGCAAGTTAGAGGCAGTGCTGGAACTGTGTCCAAAGTCTCTTGACTCCCACTTTGGGGCTCTTCTGACCCTGTATGCTGTCCATTTTACAGCTGGGGAAGTGGAGGCTTGTGAAGGTACATGCATTCAATCCGGACCACAGTGAGGCAACAGGGAAGCTGGGACTCAAGTCCAGGGTCTCTGACTCCAGAGCCAGTGCTCTGTCTGGGCTCCCCGGCCTCTTGTGGAGGGACAGACACAGCCTGGCCCAGCCAGGGTGGACAGGGCGAGGTGGGAGGCTGAGAGCCCAGTGTCTGCATTCCTTGCCCCGTTGTGGGCAGACGTGGAGGACCAGAGGACAACCAAATTACAGGCAGTGACCGAGGACGGATGAATACCCAAGCCTGGCTCTTCCTCGACTTCCCCTGGCTCCTCCACAAGGGCAGGCAGCGCCCTCGATGCCCAGCCTGTGGGCAGGCGGGGGCCGGTGGAGCCAGGTTTTGCAGCTGCCACGAGCCTCAGGCCGGCGGTGCCAGCACCCGGCAGGAAGTGGTCTGTGGGGAGCAGTGACGAGGCCGGGCCATGCGATGTGGCTCCGCCTGAGGTTTCTGCTCTGGAAACCTGACTCATGTGGACAAAGAGCAGGCTCCCCAGCTTCCCCAGGGGCCAGTTAGTGCAATTACAGGCTGGGCTGGCCAGGCGGGCTGTGCTAGGAGGGGCTGCTCGGCCAGGGTGAGCGGTTGCTGCAGCGGCCAGAGGGCAGGAGCAGCGCGAGGACAGCGTGAGGGTGTGAGGACGTGTCCACGCGGGCACCGGGCTGAGCAGCCGGAGGAGGGTGCCCCTGCGTGCGGAGGGCTCCGGGCTGGGTTCTGACTCACTGGGGGGGGGGGTGGACGCTACCTCCCAGCCCTGACTGTCCTGCTCTGTGTCTGAAGCCAGGCTTCCCAGCACCTGGAGTCAGGTGACTCTCCCTGCCCCTCCCTTCCAGGGAGCACGTGAAGCAGGGCTGTGATGAGAGTGACCTGCGTGTCCTGCACTGGGGTGCTGTTAGGCCCCCACCCCTCCTTCTGCCTCCCCCAGTGCCACTGGTCACCACTGCCACTCCCTCCCAGCTACCTCCTTAGCCATGACAGTCACGCCAAGTGGCTGAGAAACTTCTTTCTCTGATTACTCTGGAGAAGCGAAGCTCTGCAGCCTGCCGCGTGGATAGTCTGCTGTTCTTTCTGAGGTGCTTGTGCCTTAGTCACTTTCTTTGTACACCTGCACCTGAAAGTGAGGTTTTGGCTCACGTTCCAGTCCAGAGTCACCGGCTCCAAGGGAGAAGCAGCAGGCCAGAGGGACCCGGGAGAGGAGAGCCGCTCGCCGCGTGGTGTGCAGCACGGTTCTGGGTGCGATGGTTCGCCCCTGGAGGGGTTGGATCCGATGGGGTTTCTCAAGCCTGGCTGCCCAGGCTTTTCAACCCTGAGAGGCCCAGGCCTCACCCCAGGCCAGCAGCCCTCTGTGGGTGCTGGCTGAGCTCAGTGAAGGGTGAGAGCCGCTGGGCTGGATGGCCCTGGGGACCCTGGGGAGGACATGGGACGCGGCACGTATGCTTTGTAGGCTGCTGTGGGCAGGGCTGGCTTCTAGCATGTGTCTGTGGGCGGTGGAGGACAGCGGTCTGTCCACTGCAGTAGACGTCTCTGTCCTGACCTGTGGCAGGTGGCAGGCGTCAGGCCCCTGAGCGCCGGAAACCTCCCTCATTCCCTGCAGGGTAGCCGTGGCTGCGCTGATCAGAGCAGGGGCGGAGAAGCTCGAAGCTCTGCAACAAACTCCTGACTCTCAGGAGTAGGGCTTTGTGCAGATGTGGACCCTGGTGCCCAGACTCACATTCCAGTGGGCAGCCAGGGCAGGGGGTGCAGTGGGAGCCCATCTGAGCCAGCATCCAGAGTTAGACCCTGAGGATCTGGTCCAGTGTTAGCAGCTTTCAGGCCTCCATGATCTCATCTGTAGGATGGGGCATCTAGTGGGCACCCCAGGGCAGTGGCAGGGAGCTGCTGGAAGATTCTGATAGAGACCTTGCAGAGAGCCTCTGTCTGCCCCACTATGTAAAACCAGGGAGGAAGGCGGGAGGGGTTGGAGGCTGTGGCAGCAGGCTCCAGGTGATGCGAAGTCTGTTAGACTCCTCCCAGATCCAACTGAGGTCTGTATTCAAATATACATAGGTGAATGTTTTCACCAGTGGATCACTTAAAGAAAAAGAAGAATTAGATGAAAACCTCCATTTACAAAGTGTGTCTAAGCAGAAGTTGTCCAGCTGGAGCAGGATAGACTCTGGGACCCATCCTGACTCCCACTGTCCACCCCCACCACAGCCTATGGACAAGCTTGAGAGCTACAGCGGGAGCAGGAGAACCAGCTTTCTCGTCTCCTCCTAAGATTTGGCTCAGGGGAAACTGGTTTGAGATGCAGCAGGGAACAGAGGCTGGATACCGGAAGCATTTCTGGTGATGGGGCTGGATACGGGAAGTGTTCCTGGTGATGGAGCTGGGTACCGGAAGTGTTTCCAGTGATGGGGGCCGGCAGCCAAGTGGCTGAGCTGGTTCTGAGCCCATCTGAAGTACGAGATATGGACACTGAGGGCTGCTCCCCACTGGGACACTCAGTCCTGTGGGGCAAAGGAGAAGGCTTCTCTGGAACGCTGGACATTGGCAGTGAGTGGGTGTGTTGGGGATATTGCAGGCCTGGCAGTGGGTGAGGAAAAACAGCAAAATGACTTTCCTTCCCCTTCCCTGTCTGACCTACTCCTCACTGGGGTGAGGAGGACACAGAGGGAGGGAGGAAAGAGGGGAAGTCAGGGCTTGGGGGCGGGGACCAGGGCATGTGTCTGAGAGGCAGAGCTGGGAAGAGGAAGGTGAGAGGAAGTGAGATTCAGAGGCAGCTCTAGCCAGCCCCCACTTCAGGCGACATCCACCACTTTCTCCCGCTTCCGCACGCAATGCCCCATGCAGGCCACCGTCTCGGCCACAGGCATCCCTGCCGTCCCTTCCTGACCAGTGGGGCTTGCCACATCCCCGCTGCCTTCTCCTTGATTCAGCATACTCCCTGTGTGTTTGTCACAATAATCCCTTAAGAACAGGCACGCACCACCAAGGCCACTGTGCTGCTCACAGCCTGCGGTGGGTCCTGTCTTCCTGCCTGGGTCTACTGCATCTTCTCCCTCTTTCGCTCTCACCCTTGCCCCGTCAGCAGGCCTTCCGGCTCCTCCCAGAGCCCCTAAACCAGCTGCCCAACACTCCTGTCCCCCACTGGCATCTAGCCCGGGACTGTCAGATAAAATACACCTGCATTTTGGATAAATGGCAAATCCTTTCTTAGCATAACCACGTCCTGAATGGTGGATGCATCGTTGATCTGAAATTCAAATGCAGCTGTGCACCCTGTGTTGTTATTTGCTAAATCTGGCAGCCCTAGTTTCGTCCATCCTTTCTGGACCCAGTGTCACAGCCACTTTCCTCGTTCCTGGGACAAAATACCTGATACCTGCAATTTAAAGGAGGAGAAGCGCATTTTGGCTCATGGTTTGGTTTGCGGAAGTTTCCGTCCATAGTTGGCCATCTCCAAGGCAGAGTCAGCCTGGTGGAGGGGGTAGGGCAGAAGAAAGCTGCTCACAGCACGGTGGATAGGAAGCAGAGGGAGAAGGGAGGACTGGGAGGGAGATAAACTCTCCCAGGACACGCCCCCAGTGACAGCCTCTTCCAATCAGGCTCCGCCTCTTTCAATCATGTCCCCCCTCTTCCAATCAGGCCCCACCTCCTAACAGCGAGTCAGCTATGAGCCCCATAATCCATCACCTTCCACAACCCTCCCATGAATGCGTGAGGCTCTTGTGGGGGGCATCAACTATAAACACTAATTATCATAGTTTCTCAGGTCAGCTCTCTGGTGCTTTGAGCTATTGGGGGAAGTTGGAAAGCTATCTTCCAGGTATTTTTGTTCCACTAAGCTTATTTGTCTTAAATAGATTATTTATGTTTGAATGAATGCATTTATTTTAAATACATTCATTAAATATTTTATTTTGAATCAACCCATTAGTTTAAGAGGGGCATCCTGGAGACCAGGTTCCCCCATTTCTTCTCTGCCCATTAGTGACATAGAGGGTGGGGTTTTAGGAAAATTGGAAGGGAAGGTATTTGAAGTGAGAAAATTATTGATTCTGTCACTGCTCTTGGGAGGTCCTTTCTGCCCCAGGCTCTGACACCATCTGGCTCCTAGGGCCTGTGGGACTCATGAAACATGATCGTACAGCGTGAGCTGGCCATGGGAGAGCTTTGACCCCTAAGTCCCTATGGTCTGGGGCTCCTGACACATCTGGACTGGAGGGCGTGGTCCAGTCTCTAAGCTCTGTCAGCACTGGGCAGTTAAGATGAGCACTAATCTTCTTGACCTCCCAGGCCTACTTGGTTGGCCGTGCTATTCAAGGTTATGGTCACCAGGGGTCAGCCTTGCATATTAATGTCTCTTTTATGTGCTCTACTTCTTCAAACGTGAGGATAGAGCAGAGGCACACTTTAGATCCCGGAGCTGTGAGTCTGTGACCTGCAGATCTGGGAGGGCAGTGGTCTTCTCTTGTATATCTTGCTTGGTTCATCCTGGAGGGCTCGGCATCTCTCTGGCCCTTTGCTAGGAGGCCCCGTGAAGGAGGTTGGGTTAGGTGGCTGGGGTCTGGCAGGAACTCGGGAGTTGGAAGAGGGTTGGGGTCCCAGTTCAAATCTGCATCTTCCTAGTGTCCTCAATGTGTTAGGTGACCTCCAAAGCTTTGATTTCTTCTCCAGAGGCATAGGGTAGCAATGCTGCCAGTACAGGGGTGGGGCATGACCTGCTGGGTTGAGAAGTGCCTGTTGGTCAAGAATGACTTCTCTAGGCCAACCCATTGTTCAGGGCCGCTGCCAGTGAGAAAGGAGACAGAGGATGAAAAGACACACAAACAACACAGTAGTGGAGTTGTCATGAGGCACCACATGGTCCCCTGCCAAGCCCAGGACCAGTGAGCCAGGACTCAGAGGAGGGAGGGGGTCACCCAGAAAAGGGACTGCATGGCTTGGACTCACGAAGCCATTGGGTGTAAGTTCAGGGCCCGCTGGTAGGGACTGAGTGAGGTGTTTCAAGTGGGGCATAGATCAGGCACCAAATGCTGGGGATTCCAGTTGACCCAGGACCTGGCATCTTCCATTCAGTTTGCTGTATTTCCTGGGCACCTGCTCAGCCTGGGAAACCCATCCTTGGGCAGCCATAGCTGCTTCTGGTGCCACGCAGTGACCAATGTTTGGTCCACACACTAGACTTGCACCCACAGAAAGCCGCCCCTGGTTGCCCTGCTCCTCCAAGGACACCCTCCCCCCACCCCCGCCCACACTGTGCAGGGAGAAGCATCAGTACCCACACTGGAGCCCCGGGGCCTGCAAAAGTAGGTGTCATTGTACTGGGCGCTTCCTCGCCAGGAGCCCCGCCTCCCCTGCCACCTTCATTGGGCTGTATCCCTGCAGGTGGACAGCTGTGCCCTCCCCCAGCCCCTGTGTGGCTGGGCGGCTCTGGGAAGCCTGAGGGCTCTTGGCAGTGCCTGTCTCAGGGTGGGTCCCTTCCCACCCCCTGCCGGCCGGCTGCGGTTTCCCCATCTGTAGAAATGACTCCTCACCCACAATTGCATCAATCCGTTCAGAGACAAAGTGAATCATGTTGCAAGACGCGGTTGTGGACTGCGCCCTGTGCTCCAGTTGGGGGCTGGTGGGGCTGGCTGGGAGGGGGCTGGGCCTGGGCCTGTTGTCACAGAAGGGAAGAGTCAGGAGGGGGATGCCAGGGCGGGGCCTGGAGGATGAGAGATGACGCGGAACTCAGCAAAGGGAGGCCTGGAGGACCGAACCAAACAAGCATGCAGTGACCTTGACCGAGACCACACTGGGGAACCCACGGCTTACTCACCCCCAACCCTGCTGCCACCGCTGGGAGAGAAAGCAGCGGAGAGAAGCTGACTCACTCCCAGCACTTTGCAGGGGTGTGGGGCGAGCCGGAGAGATGGGCTGCTTGGCCTTCTTCCTCTTTCTCTATTTTGGACTCCTTGGCCGGCTTCCTCTTCGCTGAAACCCTGTGGCTCTGGGCCGAGGGCCTCCGACCTCAACCCTCCTCTGTTCCCACCCTCTGTTTCAGAGGTGCAGCCACAGCTGGGGGCCTCTGCAGGAGGGTGGAGACTCCGGCCGCTGGAGCCCCATGAGCTTCCCACAGGCGGAGCTGGGCACCTTCTCCCCTCCCGAGGCAGCAAGGGGGAGACTGCCTATCTTTCAGTGGACAGGAGGAGGCCCGAGGGGGCCCTCGTGAGCAGCCCACTTCTGCCTCTGTGGTCCCCACAATTCCCTTGGCAAAGCCTGGCTCGCTGTACCAGCTTGCGGGGCCCATCAGCTCTCGCCAGCCCCACAAGGCCAGGGAGGGCGGTGCCTAGATCCAATCTGTGAGTTAAGAAAGCTCTCGCTCTTCCCTGTGGTTTGCGAGCTTTGCAGTGTGTCTGGCATATTCCTGGGGCCCAGAACACTGCCTGATACATGATAGATGCTCATTGAGAATTGTCTTTCCCTTTCTGCTCCTAATATCCTTCTTCTCTGATTTATCCTTCCTCTTCTATTCTTATCCACTCCCTCTTCCGTGCCTTAATTTCCTTTACAGCTATTTAAGAAGTGCCTCTCTGTGCCTCCTCTGCCCCCGCCATTGCACTTTATATTTATCGTCTCACTTTCACGCTGATCTTGGCAGAGAAGTACTGGCCCCATTTTGCAGAGAAAGTGGGTGAGCCCTGCCTGGAATCTTTCCCTTGCCCCCTTCATTCTTTCTTTCTATTGTGTTGGGAAGTCCCTAGGAGCATTCCCTAGGCAGGGCAGGGAGAGTGTGGGAAGGCATGGTCTGGTGGGGTCCCTGTTACGTCACACATGGGTTCCATCCATCATGGCGCCCACCAGAAATATGTGAGGCGCACATGAAGAAGCCATGACAGGAATCTGAGCAAGAGCCTGTCCAGCCTGGGGTGGGGTGGGGTGGGGAGCAGGATGTGCTGGAGGGGCAGCATGAGCAAGCATAGAGAGGGGTGGCTTGGCCTTAGGAGCTTGCGCCATGGGAAGGTTTTAAGCAGGAAGATGATAGGGCCTGGGCCACAGGTTAGAGAGATCACACACCCTTTGACCAACATTAGAGAGAAAATAAATGGAAAAGATGTGGTTGGAACCCAGCAGACTCAGCAAACAAGGCCTACATTCTTCCAATTTCTCTGCCTCCTGAGGAACAGTTCCTTTCTTGGCCACAGGAAGCATATTTCAGCATGGAAACTCCTAGGCAGGCTCGTCAGTGATCTTTCTTCTTACTGCCTCTTGTTTTCGTTGCATCCTTTCTCTTATCAGCCATGCCTCTGTGAGGCACATCCCCTGTTACTGATGTTCAAACCGTCTGGACTGTACCCTGCTAGACCAAGGATGCCCTGGAAGAGGACGCGGCTTGCTGGTACGGTATAAACCCTTCTCAGCTGTGAAATCCAACTTCACTCAGTAGATGAAGCTTATTTATTTTGTGTGTGCAGATGTTAAGACATGTCTGCCGACAGAATGTGGAGCTGGACAGGGGCTACTGCAGCAGAATACCAAGGAACCACCAAAGGAAGACAGCAAAGAGCCTCTGCTCGTCACACGCACTGGGGCTCGGGCTGGAATAGCAGCTGCCATCTTGACCCTTGGCATTGCCCACATCAGAGGGAAGCAGAACCCTGGGGTGGCCTTGTGCCTGCAATTCGATGCTCAGCCTGAAGGAAGTGATTTCTGTTAGTTGTGTTCAACCCATTGCCCAGAACTAGTCAATGGCTTCACCAGCTATGAAGACACTAGGCAGTGTGGGTCTACCATGTGCACAGGAGGTGGGAACCCACAAAGGTTTGGTGAGCAGCTCTGCTGGGTACCACAGTGCACTTTGTGCCTAGCAGAGCATAGCAGGGAATAGGGGATGAGAACATTTTTGTTGAAGGTGGTTTCCTGCCCTACCAGTCTAACCAAGCAGCCCTTAACAAGGTTCCAATGGCCTCTGTCTTGCTCTGTCTCCTGGGCGCTCCTAGCCCTCATCTGCCTCAACCTTGCTGGTTATTCCATACCCTTTGTAAGATCCTCTTGGCTTGAGGACACGATGCTTCCCTGATTCCCTTCCTCCCCCTGCGTCACTGCTTCCTTGGATCCTATGCAACTTTTTCTCCCCTTGCTGGACCTCATTTTGGGTTTCTCAGACCCTGGGCCTATATCTTCAGCAGAACTCATCCACCCCTTCCCTTGAACTTTCCCTTCAATGGAGGTGACTTCCTTGTTTTTTTTTTTTTTTTTTTGAGCTTTGAGTTCATGAGTTTCACAGACTACTTGGTAGCTTCTCAATAATATCTCAACATCACCTCAAATATATTACACTGAAAACCAAAGCTGTGACCTTTCTCCTTCCACTCCGGTCTCTAAAGCCCTATTTCTGGGCTCCTGTCTCTCACTGAATGACATTGCCCACCTACTCACACAGTCCAGAGACCCAAGAGTCCCTTTCCACGTTGTGTTCTCCCATGGGCTTCCATGTTTAAATGCCAAGTCCCCGCGACTTAGCGTCCGTACCTCTCAAGTCCACACAGCCCACCATCTCCAGCTCGGACACTGTCTCCATTCCTCTCCCATCTCCATCACTGGTCCATGCGGACACCTTGTCCCCCTTGAATGCTGTAAGCTCCCTCGGGCCTCCTTGTCCATTCCAGCTGCAGCCGCCGGCTCTCTAGGCGACAGCCGGGGGGATCTATTCCCAGTGCGAATCTGACTCATGCTCCTCCATCACAAAACACTTCAGTGGCCTGGCAGAATCTTCAGTCTCCAGTGCTGTGCTGGCTCCCTGCCGTGGTCACTGCTCAGGACCTGCGCGTGGCGTCCACAGAGCAGCTCTTCGGAGTATTTTTAGGCTTCCCAGGGACTGACCACAGCAGATGTGGGGAGAAGGGCCGCTCGCCAGAGCAGATAGACAGACCCCTTTCAAGCCACCTTCCTGTCATCCAGCGAGCTCCCTGAGCGAGGCAGGGGAGGTCCCCATGGGGTTGGTTCTATTTCTGGGGGTGAGGGTGAATCAGTTGTGTCTGAGGACACCATCAGGAACCACGACAGTCATTTCTTTCTTTGTGGCTTTGAGGTCTGGGTGGGGAGGGGCTGGGATCCTGAGACCCCTGGGGCCCACAGTGGAAAGACGAACTGATTGCAAGTGAGTATGGGGGAGACTCTGGGGGCCCCAAGGGTGGCTGGTGTTCTCTGGCTTTGTACCCCCCGCAGCCTCACCCACGCACACCTCCTAACTCATGAGGAAGCTGCTCTCCTTGTCTCTGTGTCACAGATGAGGAAGCCAAAGCTCAGAGAGTTTAAGGGTTGGACCCAGGTTCTCACAACTGTCCAGTGACGTAGCTACGACTCATGGCTACACCCCCCAATTCCCAAAGCCAGCATCTCCACCCGCTTCCATGTTTACCCTCTCCCTCGTCTCCGAGGAACCATGAGGCCAGGGAGGACAGCAAGTGGGAGGTCCTGGCCAGGAAGCATAGGGCAGTGCTGGGGCCCAGAGACCAGCAAAGGTGGAAGCTGCCCCCCACCCTGTCCTGAAGGGGCAGGGAGAGAGCATTACTGGGGACCACAGTGACAGAAGAGCTCGGGTACAAGCAGGAAGCTCATGGAAGATGCAGACCTAGTCAGATGCATGGGCTCCTCTCCTGCTGGATCCAGAGGAGACCAACAGACCAAGGAGCCTGGTGACTCGATCTGGAGAGCCCAGACCTCCTGCCAAGATGGAGAACGGGTGGGCGTAGATAGAGACCCAGCAGCAGGGCCTCTTTCTCTCTTCCTCCTGCCCTGTTCAGCGCGGTCACCAGCTGGGGGCCCCTGCTAGTCTCCGTCAGCACCTCTCTGTGTGGCCGGGCCTGGGGGTTCTGAGGGGCTGACTGAATGAGCAGCCCAGGAGCCATGTTGAGTTCAAGATCTCCTCAGCAGGGACACCACCCTGCGCACACTCTTGGCCAGCCTCCAGTCAGACAAAATAAAACCTGCCAGGGTCTCCAGGAAGCTGAGACAGTGCCTGGCTGAGGAGGGCCTGGGAAGAGAAAGGGGCTGGGAGCAGGGCGGCCTGAGGAGACCCTGTCCACCTTCCTCTGGAAGGCCATGAGCCTCCTCCTGGGAGCCTGGGGTACTTGAAGGTGGGGGCACTAAATATTTATGAATTCGTGGAGTTCGCGCTGATTCCTGAGCCATAAGTTTTCATGATGTGTGTTTGGTTCCTCAAGGGAACATTAATCTGGCCTATTGCCCCTGCGCTGTCTGTTATAAATAATATTGTCCTGCTATGGGGAGGCAGAGGGCAGGGCCACCACTGGGAGAGAGCAGGTGGTGTGGTGAGGGGCGGAGAGAGGCTGAGAGGCAGATATTTGGCGAAGGGGCCCAGGGCTCCTGTCTGAAGCTGACAGGAAATTTTCAGAAAATCCCACCAAAGAGAGCACCAGCCATTAAATCCTAATTGCTAATCATCCTCTCGAGCTGATGTCCTCAGTGGTGTTGGGGTCCCAGCATCCTGAGGAGACGGCGTGGCCTCCCTTGGGGGCGTGGTGATGGCTCTGTCTGGAACATCTCCAGTCTGGAGCCCCCGGCCCAACCTGGGGCGTTAGGAGATGATACTGGGCAGTGAGTCTCACTTCCGAGGGCTGGGCTTCTACAGGCAGAGAGCTCTGAGGGGAACACCTCTTCCTCCGCCTCTTCCTCCTCCTCCTCCTCCTGGATGACCCAGGAAGTGATAAGAAGCAGACTCAGCTTCCTGTGCTCGTGCCCACTCAGCAACACGCAAGTCGTTCAGCCCCTCCAAGCCCCTGTTGCCTCAGGGCTAAAACCTCTGATGCCTCAGGCATCAGAAATTGGTCCATCGCTTGGGGGTGGTGCTTGGTGGGAACCCCAGGAATCTGGGGATGGCGCCCTTCATAAGGGCTTTTCCCGGCAAAGGTGCTGGATGGCCAATGTGTCATGGGATTGAGTTCGAACCATGGTCCCTGGGATAGAGCGACTTGGGCAACACCCCCTTAACCTCCACAGGGCCCAGATCAGAGTCTTCCCTGTCCTGTCAGGGGTGGGAGTGGCAGAGGGAGGACAAGATGGAAGGCAGGGGAGGGCAGTGGCTCCACACACAGGGGATCTGCAGCCCAGCTGGGAGGGGAGAGGAAAGAGAGAAAGAAGGGAAGCAGAGAGGGTGGGAGAGGAGAGGGCGAGGGACGGGGAGAGGAAGGTGGGGAAGGTGGGGGGTGGGGATGTTTTTCATGCAGCCAAGTACCACCCCATGCTGTCTGTCTTGCCAGGGAGGAAGGTGAGGAGAGGCCCAGCATAGTGGCCCGGGGACCTATATTCTCCTGAGGGCTCTATCCTGCAGGATGTGGCCCTTGGCCCAGGGACTCATCCACCCTTCGTTGGGGTAAGGGGTACAGGAGAGTGGGGTTGGGGTGCTTCTAGAGGCTGAGCTCTGGCTGTGCATAGGTCCCCACTAGGACTAAATTACCAGGTAGATGGGGGGCAGGACAGGTGACTGCCCGTGCCAAGGCAGGAGATGCCAGAGGGGTAACTTTGTCAATGCTGCCCAATCTGGTCATGCAGATTTCAAAAGCTGCTTGAAGGGGGCTCCAGGGCTTTTCAGGGGATAACCTGGAGCAGGGTGAAGCAGGCGGGAAGCAGAGGAAGAGGTGTGCTTTTGCAGCCACCCAAACCTGGCCCTGGCTCACTCTGTGTGCGGGTATCGGGTCCTCTGGGCAGCAGAGGCAGGGTGAGGAGAGGGGATGGAGGATGGAGACCCTGGACCCCGCAGCCCGGTCACTCTGCCCTCTGCAGTGTGATTTCCATGCTCATAAACCCTTGCCCGATCACAAGACTGCCTCAGTCAGCTGACAGACCTGGGAACACCAGGGCAGAGAAGGCCTGGCTATGCTGAGCAGCCTGGTCCTCAGCGAGACCTTGACCCCTGGCCCATCAGCATGCTCCCCCTCCAGTCCATTGTTCAAAAGCAGCCAAGGGGGCCCAGTGGAAAAAAAAAACTCAGATCTGATCTGCCCCTGAGTCAAACCCTCAGCGGAGGTCCCTTGATGTTAGGACAACCCCCCGTAGTGTCCACGTCCTTGCCATGTCCTCCACCCGTACAGCTCCCACCCCGGATGCTCCAAACCCCCGACCTCCTGCGGGCTCCCAGCCTTCCATCCTGCTGACCTCAGGGGCTCTGCTGCTGCTGTCCCCTCTGCTGGGAGCTTTGCGCATTTATTGCCCCTCATGTCCTATGCTGCAATCACCCCATCCTTCTACGTTGGGCATTAACCAGAACAGTACTGAAATGTTTAGTTGTTCAGTTCATCTTCCACTCTCTGCTTCCCAGGGCTCAATATCTGCCTCAGGGAGTCAAGGAGCAGGACAGTCTGAGTCACCCGTAAGCCCAAGCAGCTTGCTCGGTGGACGCAAAACAGTAGACATTTATGGAGTCTAATGAGTAATGAGCTCAGGCTGCTGTGAGTGGGACAGGTATTGATTGGGGTCAGACAGATCTGGGTGCCAGTCTCAGCTCTGCTACCGTCAAGTGTGTGACCTGAGTACGCGCCTTCACTCTAGTGTCCTTTAATTCCTCATCCAAAGGCTGAGGACGAGGCTCTTCCCTTTACAGCCATTTGAGGCTGAAGCACGCCCTAGCAAGGTGTGTGCCCGGTCCCTGTCACATGGCCAGATAACATCAGCTGCACAGGGCCGTGGCGCCTCCTCAGAGCCAGTCCACACCAGACCTCACTGTGGCCTGGTGACAGGCGGGTCAGGTCTGCCTGGGGGCACCAAAGCTGGAAAACCTGTCCCTATTGGGCTGCTGTGGCCTCCGTGGGAACCTAGCAGCTTGGAGGTTTTGCTTTTGTCGTTTTCAAACAAGACAGAGGAAAAATGAAACCACCCGGAAAGTGGCAGGAGCCCTTTCTGCCAGCTGCCTGATGTGTTTTGCTGGGCGCCGGGCACGGTGGGCCTGGCTTATTTATTTATTTTTTATGTCCCTGACTTATGAGTCAGTCGGTTGGCTCAGCGGTAAAACACAACCCACTATCAAGGAAATAGCTGGGGAGCTGCATGCCAACGCACCACTCACGACTTTTGAAAATCTCTTGTTTTCTGGCCAGCATGAGTCAACCGGAGCTGCGGTTCCTCGAGTTGCTCTCCAGGACCGAATGCCAAGCGCATTTGAGATCCTTCAACAATTGCCTCGCGATCGCTGTGCACCGCCAATACATGTTTGCTGTAATTACACGGCGTCCAAAGGAGAAGCACAAAAGACTTGTTGATTTTGGATGGGCTCCGGCCCCCAAGAGGCGAGGGCTGACCCAGGCTCCTGGCAGAGTGTGGGCGGGCAGCGCGGCCGCCCTGGTGAGGACGTGACCAGCTGGGGCGAGTGCTGAACTCAGGCCATTGTGGCCAGAACCGGCGCGCTCCAGCCAGCTGACTCAAGCGCGGCTTGCTTTGGAGAATAACCCTGGAGAACAAAACGAGGAACTAGAGCTCCTATATAAAGCAGCTCGCTCCTTCCTCCAGCCAACGAGTCCCTGAATGATAATCATCTCTAAAGTTGGCCACCCTCCCTGCCTCCCTCTCTGTCGCTAAACAGACTCATTGTCTCTCGTCTTCCCAGGGAAGCATCTTGGCTTCGGAGAGGCCTTTCCATGGTAGCCCGGACCTGCGGCCCCTCTGACCCCACTTCCTTGTGGTGCTGGGTGGTCAGAGGGGCAGCTGGGGTATGCTGGAGAGAAAGAGAACCCTCACTTGGAGCTGGGGGCCCTGCTTATTACTCAGGCGCCATGCAAAGTAGTTGTCCACACGGGGTTCACTTTCTTCATGTTATCGGAGGGGCGTGGTTTAGAGCCTGCTTTGCATATGCACCCTTTAAGTTTGTAAATTGGAGTAGCACTTCTCTCCAGGGAAAATTCACATGGAACCTCCATGCCTAAAGCGGAACTGCTTGGTGCAAATGGGTGTCCCACCCCCACCCCCGCCCACTCACAGCTCCATCTGTAGCATTTCCAGCCCAAATCCTGCCCACTGACCCTGGGCCTGCCACTTATTGGTATGGGTACCACGGAACACAGTTTGCAAACCTTGAGCTCTGATCTCCAAGGCTCCTGCCAGCTTTTGAATTTGGAGCAGAATCTATGGCCGCTGAGACGAAGTGGTGACGGCCACCTTGGGCTGTCGCAAGTGGACCTGGGTCCCTGTCCTGAAATGTGGGAGGGGGGATAAATCCATGAGAAGATGACAGCCCACAGCCACCACCACAACAACAAGAATGATTTTGCTCCCGCTGAAGTTTCTTGAGCAACTGGCAGGCTGCCACGAATGTACTTAGGCGGAAAATCACCAGAAAAAAATGATATAATCTGACAGATTTTTCACAGGCTTAAATATTCATGAATTAAAGGAATTGGCAGAATTTTCTACATTATTAGCTTTCATCATGGCTGCAGGAGCAGTTGGTGTACTGGCTGCTCTTCAAGATCCATTAATCTCGTCCATCACGAGAGCAACCATTTTAAAATTAGCTATTTTTACGGAGTGATGGCGTACAGGGGACATGGGGAGATTGCAAGTTGGCTCCAGTGAGAAGGTCCTCGCCTTCTCCCTGAGAAGCAGCTGGGAAAGCCAAGCAGGGTCTCAGCAGAAAGGGGTCAGTGATACTCAGAGCACAGGGCGATGGCAGTCCAGGTGTGTCCTGGGATGTGGGGCCTTCTCATCCTCTGGACGCTAAAGACTGGTGAGAGTTCAGATAGATTTCCAACAGACAAAGCCCAAGAGGCCTGAGAGACCCCATTGGAGGCTTCCGGGTGAGGGAGGTACAGTCCTTCTACCAGATGGCACCCGGGTAACTTTTGTTCATTATTTACAGAGCAGAGTGGCGCTCTCTGCTGGGTGCCCTGCTGTGGGTGCATGGCCTCATTCCAGCCTTAAAGAACTCAGAAGGTAGGCAATCACACACACGCAACAGTTAAGTAAACAAGTCACAGAGAGGTTAGGCCAGCTGTCTATGGTCTCACAGCCAGTGGATAACGAGGCCCTG